CTGGCACCCTCCCAAGCCTAAACCAGGAAGAAGTCGAAACCCTGAGTAGACCAGTAACAAGGGCTGAAGTTGAGGCAGCAATTAATAGCCTACCAACCAAAAAAAGTCCAGGTCCAGATGGGTCAGATGGGTTCACAGCTGAATTCTACCAGATGTACAAAGAGGAGCTGGTACCACTCCTTCTGAAACTATTCCAAACAATCCAAAAAGAGGGACTCCTTCCCAAATCATTTTAGGGTAACAAAACCCAGCAGAGACTCAACAAAAAAAGACAACTTCAGGCCAATATCCATGATGAACATAGATGCAAAATTCTTCAATAAAATACTGACAAACTGATTGCAACAGCACATCAAAAAGCTTATCCAATCAAGCTTATTATGATCAAGTAGGCTTCATTCCAAGGATGCAAGGCTGGTTCAACATATGCAAGTCTATAAATATAATCCACCGCATAAACAGAACCAAAGACAAAAACCACATGATTATCTCAATAGATGCAAAGGCGGCCTTCGACAAAATTCAACAGTGCTTTATGCTAAAAACTCTTAATAAACTAGGTATTGAAGGAACATACCTCAAAACCATAAAAGCCATTTATAAGAAACCTACAGCCAATATCATACTGAATGGGCAAAAACTGGAAGCATTCCCTTTGAAATCCAGCACTAGACAAGGATGCCCTCTCTCATTACTCCTATTCAATATAGTATTGGAAGTTCTAGTAAGAGCAATTGGGCAAGAAAAAAAATAAAGGGCATTCAGTTAGGAAAAGAGGAAGTCGAATTGTCCCTATTTGCAGATGACATGATTGTATATTTAGAAGACCCTATCATCTCAGCCCAACATCTCCTTAAACTGACAAGCAACTTTAGCAAAATCTCAGGATACAAAAATCAATGTGCAAAAATAACAAGCATTTCTATACACCAATAACAGACTAACAGAGAGCCAAATCATGAGCAAACTCCCATTCACAATTGCTACAAAGAAAATAAAATACTTAGGAACACAACTAACAAAGGATGCAAAGGACCTCTTCAAGGAGAACTACAAACCACTGCTCAACGAAATAAGAGAGGACACAAACAGATGGAGAAACATTCCATGCTCATGGTTAGGAAGAATCAATATTGTGAAAATGACCATACTGCCCAAAGTAATTTGGTAATTGGTAGCTTGATGGTGATAGATTCAATGCTATCCCCATCAAGCTACCAATGACCCTCTTCACAGAAATGGAAAAAAACACCTTAAACTTCATATGGAACCAAAAGAGAGCCCACATAGCCAAGACAATCCTAAGCAAAAAGAACAAAGCTGGAGCCATCACACTACCTGACTTCAAACTATACTACAAGGCTACAGTAATCAAAACAGCATGGTACTGTACCAAAACAGAGATATAGACGAGTGGAACAAATAGAGGCCCGGGAGGCAACACCACACATCTACGACCATCTTATCTTTGACAAACCAGACAAAAACAAGCAATGGGGAAAGGATTCCTTGTTTAATAAATGGTATTGGGAAAGCTGGCTAGCCATGTGCAGAAAGCAGAAACTGGACACCTTCCTGATACCTTATACTAAAATTAACTTCAGTTGGATTAAAGACTTAAACATAAGACCTAACACCATAAAAACCCTAGAAGAAAACCTAGGTAAAACCATTCAGGACATAGGCATAGGCAAGGACTTCATGACTAAAACACCAAAAGCATTGGCAACAAAAGCCAAAACAGACAAACGGGACCTAATTAAACTCCAGAGCTTCTGTACAGCAAAAGGAACAATCATTACAGTGAACTGGCAACCTACAGAATGGGAAAAAATTTTTGCAATCTACCCATCTGACAAAGGACTTATATCCAGAATCTGCAAAGAACTAAAACGGATTTACAAGAAAAAAATAAACCCATCGAAAGTGGGCAAATGATATGAACAGACACTTTTCAAAAGAAGACATATATGAGGCTAACAAACATATGAAAAAATGCTTGTCATCACTGATTATTAGAGAAATGCAAATCAAAACCACATTGAGATACCACTTCACACCAGTTAGAATGGTGATCATTAAAAAATCTGGAGACAACAGATGCTGGAGAGGATGTGGAGAAATAGGAACAGTTTTACACTGTTGGTGGGAGTATGAATTAGTTCAACCACTGTGGAAGACAGTGTGGCACGTCCTCAAGGACCTAGAAATAGATATTCCATTCAACCCAGCAATCCAACTACTGGGTATATACCCAAGGGATTATAAATCATTCTATTATAAAGACACATGCACACATATATTCATAGCAGCTGTGTTTACAATAGCAAAGAACTGGAACCAACCCAAATGCCCATCGACAACAGACTGGACAAGGAAAATGTGGCACATATACACCATGGAATACTATGCAGCCATAAAAAACGATGAGTTTGTGTCGTTTGTAGGGACATGGATGAATCTGGAAAGCATCATTCTCAGTAAACTGACACAAGAACAGAAAATCAAACACTGCATGTTCTCACTCATATGTGGGTATTGAACAATGAGAACACATGGACACAGGGAGGGGAGCATCACACAATGGGGTCTGTTGGGGGGGCCAAGGGAGGGCCAGTCGGGGGGTGGGGAGGTAGAAGAAGAATAACATGAGAGAAATGCCAGATGTAGGTGACGAGGGGATGGAGGCAGCAAACCACATTGCCATGTGCGTACCTATGCAACAATCCTGCATGATCTGCACATGTACCCCAGAACCTAAAGTACAAAAAAAAGATAAAAGAAAATATACATGTTCCATATACCAAAATAATTTTTAGTGCATATGGGCATGATATGGGCCGGATAATCCAAGCATATTTTCATCACTTTGGAATTTTCAACTCTAACATTTTAGGCATAAATATATTACCTTGGCACAGTGACATAACTGAAGGTAAGTGTGTTCAGTTGTTGACATTTAAAGACCTGAGAAATTTCAGTAACTTTACCCTGCTTTGGACATAAAGGATGTACAATTTACGTCATATAAAAACACTTAGTTTCTATATGTAGAGATCCATTGTATACCAAACATCCAAATCTTATTTCTAAATCAGTATCTTCTGAAAACCTTTCAAATTAAATACATTTCACATACTCTCGACACTTCGAATTTTAAACCTGTGGTTGGTCAGCAGAATGGTTAGACTCTTAAAGAAAAATGTATCTGGTTATTTATATATTCCATTACTGCATCTATGTTTTCCATCTGTTCATAAAGTTCCAGGCTTGACTTGTAACTGAGAACCATAACTGAGAGACCATAAATAATTTTTTAAAGCACATTTGTTTTTGACTAGAAATAATGATCATTCAATTCAGGTGATCATGGAAATTGGGGATGAAAGCACAACCATCTGAATTCTGAGTCATCTGTTATGTTGGAGAGAAGAAACTGTGGCCACTGGCTAACAGCCTTTCTACCTGACCTCTCAGCTCCTGCCCAGGCTCCAGAGATCACCGAAGCTCATTTAACACTTCTCTCTCATTAAGCGTGAAAGAAAAGATGCCCTCAAAGTGAGTGAAGCATCCCATATGAACACAGTTGCATTCACTGAGTTCCAGGAAACTGTCTTCCAGAATCATTTGGAAGAATTTAGGTTTTAACACACCAGGGCGCTCCATTAAAACACTTCAAAATTCCAAGGTTAGAAATTGGAAGACGTGGAAACAAACAAGAACTTCAAGGTCAGGACTATTAAATGCTTACTAAAAGACCTGCTGGAGAAACTTGATTCTTTGCTAGTACTTGTTCCACTATTCATTCCTTTTCAACTACACGTGAACAGTGCGGGTGCATTTACTCTTACATTCTCAATCATGACAAAGACGCATTTTCAAAGTTTCCAAAAGGTCGTGGTTTAGAAAACACTTTTGGGAAATCATTTTAGTACTTTTTTCCACTGGTTATTAAGGATCTTTACTGAGGAAACAGAATCTCAACATGCCCAAAGCGGTTACTAATAGCCAGGGAAAAGATCTGGCAAGGAATCAGCCGGCATTTCCTTATCTATTAATCTCTCTTGGGAGTAGACACAGGAAATGGTGTCAATATGAATCTACCGTATTTTTACAGTGGGAAGTAACATCGTAATCTTGAAGAATCAATTGTTGAATTCAATGCCTTCCTTTGCCACTACAATCCTGTTTATAATATCTGAAATAAAGAATCACTGAATCTATTTTTCTGTCACCAGGGAATAAATCAAGGAGAATCAGGAAACATTTAACATGAGTTAACTCATATTTATAACGAGAAAGCTTCAAGAATTCTCTAAGTGCTTAAAGAAGAGTGGTATGATGGAAAGACACTAGACAGAGAAAGGAAAGCTTTGTCGTAGTCCCAGCTCTGTCGCTCACAAGCTGTATGATCTTGAACAAATCACTTCGTTTCTTTGATTCTCAGTTTTTTTCATCTGTAAGTTGGGGGTGGGGTCAGACTTTGATCTTTAAACTCCTTTCCAGCTCCAGGTGACCACTGTATCAATTACCTTTTAGACACCCTTCCCCGAGATATAAACAGATATTACTTTGGGAAATCGCCTGAGTACATCAGAGGAACTCCGACTTGTTCTTGGGTCTTGGCTCACAAAGCGTGCACTGAGGCAAGGGCAGAGATCAGTAACACAATGTTGAGAGCACTGCCGGGTCAGTGTCAGCTGTGTTTCTCAGCCAGATACACGATGATATGCAAGGCATCAGAATGACAACTGAAAGCCAAGCCATTTGTTCTGTTGGCCACTCACCGCTGACAGTCTGAGGGCCATGGGAGCCAAGACAGAAACACATCTGTGTTTCATTCAGTATGCTTTACATTTAGAATGGCTGCCTCCCCTCCTCCTCCTGTCTATCTTTCTTGGACTTGAGGCAGTCACATGACTCAGCTGCATGCAGGAAGAGAAGAGAGAGAAAAAGGGCAAGAAGATGGCGGGGATCTGAGCCAGAATCCCCTTTCTTACCTCCTCCACAGGACTCGGAGCACTTGGTGAATCCCTCATACTCCCAGTCATACAGCTCGTCGAAATCCTGCAGGCCACCGAAGAGCCCCTCTGTCTCGTCTGGGCTGAACTCAGGAATTTCCCCGCTGCATGGCCCTGCGTAACAGGCACGCTGGGATGCCGGCTTGGGCCCTTCACACTCATCCACGGGCAGGTCAGCCACGGACTGAGAGAAAGACAGGAGCACCTGGCACCTGACTATTCGCACCTGGGTCCCCACACCACAGGTGACTGTGCAGGCCGACCAGGCCTCTGGGATGAACCTACAGTCGGCAAGCAAACAAGAGGACAGGATGAGAAGCCCCATGCAGGAGGCCGTGGGGGTTGTGAGGGGCTGCATCCCACCTGCCTCCATTGCCCAGAGCTGTCCCGGGGGCGCTCAGGGATCCTCCACCCTGTCCTGTTGGCGCTTCAGTTTAGTTCTTAAGCTCTTTTGCCACTGTTTCTGGGTTGCTTGCTTCATGAATGTCACATGAACTCCCAGCTGCAAGACATTCCAGAGACCACCTGCTTGCTCCCTGCTTTGCACCCACAGTGATAGCTCTTCCAAGCAGGGGACTGGTGGCTTCTTCTCGCTCTAAATCCCAGTGAGATAGGAATTTGTTTTACAAGACCCCACTAATAAAATAGGATGCTGGAAAGAAGCCGGCCAGATCCTGTCAAACCAAGATGGTAATAAAAGCAACCTCTGGTTGTCCTCATTGCTCATTATACACTAATTATAAAACATTAGCATACTAAAAGACACTCCCACCAGTGCCATGACAATTTACAAATGCCATAGCAATGTCTGGAAGTTACCCTATATGGTCTGAAAAGGGGAGGATCCTCAATTCCAGGAATTCCACATTCCTTTCCTGGAAAACTCATGAATAATCTATCCCTAGTTTAGCATATGATCAAGAAATAATCATAAAAATAGCCAACCTCAGGGCTGTTCTGCTTATGGAGTAGCCGCCCTTTTATTCCTTTACTTTAATAAACTTGCTTTCACTTTGCTCTGTCAGCAAGCTCTTGAATTCCTTCCTGCGTGAAACCAAGAACCCATGAGGTCCCACCCAGGCTGGACCTCAGTTTTGGGGTTTGCCCTGTGACACCAACACCTGTGCCTCTTGCAAGTTGCTGGCTATTCTTATAGCAGACTGATACTGATAACAAAATAAGCCCTTACAGATATTTAAGGAAGCTGTTTTTTTTTTTTTTTTTAGTCTGGATCTCATATTCTTTAACTTTCTTTGTTCAATATGCTTCCTGAGATTTATTTATATGTATAAGGAGGTATTTTTGTATGTAAGTTTCCAAGAATGGTGCAAAGCCTTGTTCCTCACACATTCTGTGAATCAGTCTGAGCTCCAGTTCTTTTTATGTCATAGAGAAAAGCCGTGCTGCAAATGTAAATCCACAGGCATACCACAGAAAATGAGAGGTTTTGCATTCAGACAAGTGTGTTCAACGTCCTCACAGCAAGTCCCCCAAACGAAGCTACGTTAGTAAGAATTTGGTTTTTCTCTGAGTTTTTCTCTAGAATGTAGAAAAATACCCAAATCTTCAAAAATGTCCTCCCACCTTCATTAATCAACCAGGACCATAACTATAATGACCTTGAGAGGGGCCTAGGGAAAAAGCCCAGAAGGAACCACTCATGGTTTCAGAAAGTTAGTATACTAATTCAGAGAAAAAACTTTAGGATCATTTTTTATTTTTTATTTTTCCATGATCCTATTGCTTTCTCACAGGGAGTCGTGCTGAGGAAGACTGCAAACCTGGCTCCTTAACCTTGACTTTGGCAGACAATGAAAGAACTGATAAGAAGGTTATAGCATTAAATGCTAGCAAGTGCAAACGATTCCTATCTGGTTCAGGGAAATTGAAATTCTAACAGCAAACCGATCCAAGTTTTCAAATTGGAAGGAACGCAACAAAGATGTATCCTGGGCCTGAGCCTGGGCTCCGTGTGGAGCAGCGGTGGTCTGCTCAGAAGAGGAGAATTCCCCCAAAGCAGCACTCAGCGCTCTGAGGCAGGAGTCTCAGGCATGGCAAGAGACCCTTTGAGAAAGGCCTGACCCCAGCTATCTTTGAAGAGTCATCCACTAGGGGAAAACAAAGGTCCCCCTAAACCTTGTCGGGAAGGTGGATAAGGGTAGAATGGCCACCCAGAATTATCCCCAAGAAAAATCTCATCACAATTTCACCTCCCTTTCACCTTTTGACTTATTTGTTCTACCTTTTGCACCTAGAGAACTTGGAGAAAAAAATGGTATCCTAAAGTATCCAAAAGTCTTCTTGCTTTAAATAATGCCACCTGTAGGGGCTTTTAAAGAACATAAAACCAAAAGCTGCCATCAAAATCATTTTAACCCTCTTATTACACATCTACCTCCACCTGCCTGGCTCCTGTAACAAGAATCATAACAGACACACAAGCACTGAATTTTGCCACGCAGGTGCAGATACAAAGGAAAATGAATGCTAGACTATTTTGTATGTAAGAAAGACACAAAAGCAAATGATTAGCCTACCAACTTTGACAATGGTATGATGAATAATACTTCTTTAATAGTGTGGTACCAAAGTTTGTTTTTGAATCAGAAAGATGGCAAGATCTCAAAAAGAACTGCACCCTACCAGCTTTTTTTATGCAGTAAGAATTATGGTTCTGTTGCTTACCTCTTCAGGAACCATTATAACAGAGCAAGGGTTGGCAAGCTTTTTTCCATAAAGGGCCAGATTGGAAATATTTTAGATTTTTGCAGACTGTGTGAACTCTGTTGCAACTACTCAACTCTGCCATTGTGGAATGAAATATGTAAACAAATTAGCGTGGTTGTGTTCCAATAAAACTTTAGTTTTAAAAAGGGGGTGATGGGAAGATGATGGAAGGGTCTGGATTTGGCCTGTGGACTGTAGTTTTCCAGCCTATGCTATAGAAAAAAACATTTGGTGGCCAGGTGTGGTGGCTCACGCTTTTAATCCCAGCACTTTGGGAGGCTGAGGCGGGTGGATCACAAGGTCAGGAGATTGAG